GAAATCTGAAGAAGGGTCCCGACCCGAAACATCAGCTTTCCTGCTCCTCTGATGCTGCCTGGCCTGCTGTGTTTCTCCAGCTCCACAGAGATTATGCATAATGGGTCTCTGTCAGATTGGCAACATGTGACAAGTGGAGCCTCAATATTTTGCAATTTACATCAATGACTCAGGGAAGTGAAGACATGGCAACTAAATTTGCAGATGACACCAAGATAATAAGGAAGTATGTTGTGAAGGAGACATAAGGAAGTTGCAGGGAGATATAGATAGGTTAAGTGAGTAGATGAAAATCTGGCAGATGGAATATAATGTGAGAAAATGGGACATTGTTCACTTTGGCAAAAAGAATAAAAAAAAGAATATTACTTAATATTATTGAAAGGAAGAATAACTGCAGAATTCTGAGATACAAAGGGATTTAAATGTTCTGATGCATGAGTCAAAAAAGGTTAGCATCCAGGTATAGCATGTAACTAAGAAGGCGAATGGGATGTTATCATTTATGAATTGCACATAAAGGTTAGGATGTTAAGCTTCAGTTATGCAGGGCAAGGTGAGACCTCATCTTAAACACTGTGTGTAATTTTGATCTCCTTATTTAAGGAAGGATGTAAATACATTGGAAGTGTCTCAAAGGAGATTTATAGATTGATACTTGGAACGTGTGGATAGTTTGGACAGGATGCATTTGTTTGCACTAGTGTTTTGGAGAATGAGAGGTGACTTGATTGAACTGTATAAAATCATGAATGGTCTTGACAGAGTGGAAGTGAAAAGGATGTTTCCACTTGTGAGTCATTCAGATCAAGGTTGCACTATTTTAAAATTAGGAGTTTTCTTTTGAGAGATAAGAAATTTTTCTCTCAGCAGGTTGTGCGACTTGAGCAATCTCTGTTTCAGAATGTGTTGGCGGGTGTGGTAATTGATTATGTGTAAGACAGAGATGGATATATTCTTGCCAGGCAGGGGAATCATGGATTGTCAGGGATGGATGAGAATGTGAAATTCCAAACATGAACACAAACAGATCAGCCAGGTTCAAGATGCAAGGGAGGAAGTTTAAAAGAGATGTGTGAGGCAAGTTTTTCACACAAAGGGTGGTGAGTACCTGGAATGCATTGCCAGAGGAGGTTGTGGAAGTAGACACAACAGTAGCATTCAAGAAGCACCTGGACAAATGCATGAATAGGAACGGAACAAAGAGATATGGATCCTGTAAGTGAAGGTAGTTTTAGTATGGAACGGCAAAATGTTTCGGTGCGACTTGGAGGCCAAAGAGCCCGTTCCTGTGCTGTATTGTTGTTTGTTCTTTGTTGTTATTGAATGGTGGAGCAGGCCGGAGGGGCTAAATGGTCTACTTATGTTCCTGTTTTGTATATTCATATGACTTTGAAGAAGGGTTAAGAAAAGAAAAATAAATGAGAACAATTTATTTTCAATCATCAACAAATTGCTATTGAATAGACCGCACATTTCAGATAATCACAAAAATGAAAAAAAGTGGAAGATGGAAAAAATGCTTTATACAGATGGTGAATAGGATGTTGAACAGAACATCATTGAAGTAGAGTCAATAAAATATTTCTAAGGAAGAATTAGATCTGGGAAAGCTGGGAGATAATACAGTACCACAATCTTAAGATTAAATATGTTGAATGTATTTAATGTTTATCTTTGTGAAGTGTGATGCTATCTGAATGTCATAAATTGTTCAAATGCAAAGTAACAGTCTCATTTCAATGCATTACTGTGTTCCGAGGAGTAAGTGCTTTTCTCTATTCATGATTGAAAGGGTGAAGGCTCATATTTCAGCAGAGGAGAAATTATTATTGTTACTAATGATTCTTAAAAACATTATTGATCTCCAAGCAGGTTAATCATAATCCATTTTTAATTGAGGACTAATGGGGAAGTGACTGCCACTTGCTGTTCTTCCATCTGGCCCGCTCATGAGAGAGTTTCTTAAACTCATCATAATGTAAATAATGCTACCTCTATTTCTGGCTTATCGATTATGACAGTAATGTATTACACCTGATCTTTTATCTTCTGGCATTTGATAGTGAGAGAGATTTTTGTTGTTATTTTTCTGGGTGTGGTAATTTTGTAGAAATTATATCCGCTTTAAAGGCAAGTAGACATAAGCTTCATATTGGTTCTCATTTATCAATGCCATGATGTTGTGATTCTCCCTTCAACTTTGTCTTTCAGTTTTTGGGGAAGTGCAGGTCCTTCATGTGATATAAACCCTACACAACAAACTGCATTATATAAATCAATAACAGGATCTTAACCATATAGCATATGGGCCTGATCTAAAAGTGATAACATTAACAAAAGGAAGAAATTATTCATGCTGATAGTGTTTAGAAACATTCAGGATGCAATTGCATTTGCTTTACGAAGGCTGTGATTTTTAAGTGTTGTATGGTAGAAGTTGGTTTTATTGAGGGAAATTTTGTAGTATTGCTTACTTGATTCAAAGTCAGAGAGGACCTTTGTTACAAAAATCTTGATAATGCGTGGCTTGATATACTCCACTTTTTCCTCCTGCTACAAGATATAATGTTATATTTTTCACTCTTGGCACATAAAAATATCTGAACAATTTGTTACATTATGTACATTTGGGAACATAGTCCATTTCCGATCTTTAACAACAATGATGTGTTTACAGGTAATACATTGTCTAGTAAATTGTCATCGCCTAGGCAACAAGATCATCTAAAGCACCTGCAACAATATGAACAAATAGTTCCTTACCTCCTGGATGGAGATCACCAGAAACAATCTAGCAACCTGCATGGAAAGGTCAGCATCTTTATTTTTCCTGTTTCTAACATGAAAAAGTGACCTATGCCTGATTAGATGTAAATCATTCTTCATAGTGGATCAAGCAGATACAATTGCCACTGTGTATGTTCAATATCTCTCTAACATCTCTTACAGTGGTTTTTGTCTGGATTTTTAAGATTAGAGTTTGTATCCAAAGAAAATTAAATATTGCTTAGTTGGGCAAAAACAATCATAGCATTTTGAGAAAAATTTTATAATTTCCAGTAATGTCAATATATTAATGTTTAAGATCAGACACAGGCCATTAGACAGAAGTATTCTAATTTTCACAGGGGACAGCATGCAGCCAAATCTAACCTCAGCAAATTTCATGCAGCTTAAGTTTACCATAACCTCTAGGCTCAGCACTGCTGCTCAATCCATTCACTATTTTCATTGTTACTTATTACTTTCCTGAGGATAAAATCTTCTTAACATCTCAGGACCTTTACAAGTCTGCTGAAGATTTTGTGGTAAAGACCAGTACCTGGTATACTGAGGTCAGTGAATGAGTGTTTATTGTTGGAAAACTAAATTGCATTCAATTCACATAAAGTCTGTTATCGAGTACCAGAAGCTGTACATTTTTTCTGCACTCACCAGTGTTTTTTTCCTATCACTTACCTAATGATAGTGCTATAATGCTGGAATGCACTTTTTAATTAAAGTTCAGGAGAAACCCAAACATGGTTCACACTACAGAGCTAGAACTAAATTCAAGTTGAAGTTTTGTGACCATGCACGTAATTGTTATTCAGGATGTGACTAGTGATATTCCTCAGGGATCTGCACTGGGGGGCTTTTTCGTGATACTTATAAATGACGTAGATGAAGGAAGAGTGAGGAGAAATTTGGCATGTTATATACAGGTCTACATCAATTACTCAGGGTGGGTAATGCTAGGGGCTACTACCTGTGTGGCCCATATAGTGTTCTACTTTGATCTCTATGAAGAATAGCATATGAGCTAATCAGGGAACAGCCTGTAGTGCTGGCTGCTGTGGGGAACCAACTTAAGTCTGCAGAAGCAGCGCTACATGAACAGATTTCTCTCTCAGAGGGTGGCACAATAAATAATATAGGTTGGAGCAGAAAGTTGCAAAGGGGTTTTGATGGATTGTGGATTCTGTGGAAAGTATGATGTCATTCACTCTGGACCTAAGAAAGATGGAACAGAGTAAAATAGTGAGAAATTAAGAACATTAGATGAGTAAAGATAACTTAGGGGTCCAAATACAGAAATCACTAAAAGCTAGTGGATAGGCACAAAAAGAATTTAGAATGCTAGTAGAATGTAGAACTTTATCTGAAGTGTTTTGGAATACCAAAGATTGAAAGTTATTTACTACAAGTCTAGAGCTCTGGTTGGATCCCATTTTGTGTACTGCATCCAGTTCTAGGCATCATATTGCTAGAAAGATATATGAGTCTCAAAGGCAAAGCAGTTCAGCTTCACAGAGTAATGAGACAGTGAGTACTAAGTTGTATGAACTGGGTACATAAACTAGATTTGCATTCTCTTGAATGTAGAAGGCAAATAACTTGACCTTATTGAGGTATTTCCAGTGTGTTTTTACTGCTTGGACCAGGAGTCTGGTAGTTTGGATTTTCTTTATTTTTTATAGGATGTAGGTATCGCTGGCTCGGTCAGCACCTATTGCACTCTTAATAACTGACAAAGCACTCCCATTGATTCAGAACCTCGGATAAATCTAGGTATTCATCTGTAATCCCATAGCTCCTACTGGGGGACACTCCTCACCTGATCAACTGCTGACAGTCCTACATTTTGATGGCAGACCTTCTGGTTGACTGCAAACATCAAAAACTGCAGCTTAATGACAGACCCAAATCAGGTCCTATGTTTCAACCTTCCTCAGAAATCTCGACAATGCTCAACTGTTTGAAGAGAGATCAGGGAAGATGTGCTGACTTTGCTCCACAAGTGGCACATAAGGAAAAGCTCACATCATGACAAAATCAATGGGCCGGCACGGTGGCTCATTGGTTAGCACTGCTGCCTCATAGCTTCAGGTGACTGTGTGGAGTTTGCACATTCTCCTTGTGTCGGCATGGGTTTCCTCCAGGTGCTCTGGAGCCCAAAGATGTGCAGACTAGTTGAATTGGCCATGCTAAATTGCCCATACTGTCCAGGAATATGTAAGTTAGGTGGACTAGCCATGGGAAATGATAGGGTGGGATTCTGTTTGGAGAGTCAGTGTGGACGTGTTGGGCTGAATGGCTTGTTTCCACACTGTGGGGATTCTGTGACTGTGTCCATCAATGTCAGAGCATCTTCTACATTGTGAACTTCTTCCCTGAGAGAATCATTCCTGGCCACATCTCAATCATTCATAGTATATCAGCTGAAGCTGTTGAATGGATTTTTAACTTTGACATCATACTTCCCCAGCCATATGTATAATAATAATAGTAACAATTTGAGAGGCCAGCTAAGACAAACTGATTCATCTGTTGGGAACAAGGTATCAAAATTACAGCTCGACTTTAAGTATCAAATCAGAAGAAATATCAGGGAACAGTTGTTTTAACAAAGGGTAGTGTAGATCTGGAACAAAATAAAGATCGCAGAGGCTGGAAATCTGAAACAAAAATGGAAATTGCTCGAGGAATTCAGAGCATTCTGTAGAAGGGTCACTGGACTTAAAATCTTAACTTTGCTTTCTTTCCACAGATGCTGCCAGATCTGCTGAGCTTCTCCAGCAATTTCGATTTTTGTGTTGGAAACCTGCAATTGTCATCTGGATAGACCAATGGAGAATTTCAAAATTGAGATTGATAGAGTTTTGTTTCTTTTCAAAGATGTGAAGGGTTAATAAATGAAGATTGGTAGAAGGAGTTGAGATTCAGACTAACAGTGACTTAATTGATTGGCAAAGCAGGCTTGAATAGCATACTGTTGTTTCTGCATTTTGTGTGTTGCCACTTGCAAATTTGAATTAGCACTGGTTCTGTCAAGTGACTTTGTTGAAGTGATGGTGAATGATATCATTAGTTGAAACTAACAGAAACTATTTGGCAGTGATAGAAAAGTTTACTGAACTTGTGATGGAGTAGATTGCATTGATCTGTCGAAGGATGGTATTTTATATTCCATTTCTGATATTCTTATGACCATTACTATTTATTCTCATTTATTGCACCAATAAGTGGGACATTTCATTATGATAACAAAGCTTAATAACATTCACGACAGGATGTCCAAGCAATTTTCTTTGATAGGCCACTCAGCAGTACTTTCAAGCACTTGCATGAGCTACACACAAGAGCTATGACATAAAATATCAAATTCTGAAGCATGCATAAAAAAAACCTCTTTCTATGGTAAACTACAGCCTATCAGCTTCAAATTGATGAGACCATCTTTTTTTCAGTCTTGTTCTGCAAGAATATTGGTTTGTAGGCCCCATGACTAAAATCATAAGTTATTTGCAGTCTGTAATTTTGATACCTTTGATTCACAGCAAAATAATTTGTGACTATAGTCTGCATTATTTTCTGCTTCACCGTCATTCCTCTTGTTCCTCTCTGATGTTGGAGAGGTAGAACTGCGTGTTCTCTGCAAACACTGAAGCTGTCCTTCAGTGACATTATCTTCAGGCATGGGACTAGTTTATACACATATGCAGCTCTGCTTCATCACCGCTGACTTGCAATCCCATGTTGCCCCTTTGTTGTCAGACTGCATGTTTGGATGAGATGCACTTCCTTCCAAATGAAAATTGGGAAGAATGAGAATAGCGGGTGGAATCTTCCTAAGCCCTGAACGAAGTGGGCTATGACGAGAAATTTGGCAAGATCAGGTGAGATTTTGAGTGTAACCTTTCTCAACGTCAAAACTAAAAAGTTGCATTTTCAACCAAGTCCCAGATCCCAGGATGAAATGCTTACTAGTGAGTAGTGAGAAGCCTACTAGTGGCAATTTCTCATTATAAACCTTATTACTGCCTAATCTCACCTCGTTAATTCCATTCTCCCACTCACTGGATAGAAACTAAATCCTGAGAATTCCTGACATGAAAGTCTGAGCAGCCCGGTGACACCCGCTCACTACCTGCTCCTCCGAATGTCCATCTTCAATAGTAGGCACCAATATCTCACAGCATACTTCATGGGGAGTGGCCACCCATGTCCCACATCCATGGACATTGGCATCTGACACATGCCAGCCTCCATCATCATGGTATGTCTCCAGTGTACTTACTATAAACATCTGCACTGTAATGCTGTACTTTGGAGCACTCTGTCACCTCTAATTGCAGTACTGCTGCAAGTACACTTTGCACACATGGACAAGCACCCAGCTGATGGATTGGATCAGTTTGCATCTCAGGGCTGGTCACTCAGTATCATACCATGCACTTACTCAACACCTACCCGGATGCTCACAGCAACCCTGGCTTTGCCGAGCATTGTCTTTTGGCACTCTGCCCCTTCAGCTAGACTTTGAAGGCTCACGGTACATCACTTGCTGTTTATCACAGACACAAAGTCAGGCAACTTGTCATGGTTGTCAGCAATGATCAAGTCAAGGGGTGGACACATTGGCGTTCAGCACTGTACTATGCCAATCTCACACCTGTAGCATGTGCCAACAGCCTACTTGGCAAGTATACTGCCTATGCTTCGACCAAATTGCCATATTCCAAAGTTGAAAGAGAGTGTCCCTCTGTAAAAGCACAGGGGACTACTGTCACTCAAGGAACCCCGGTACAGACAGTAAGGACAGCATCTGTTTACAGTTCAAGGGTTTGTGCACAGTCAGTCATCCACTTGCACTGGTCAGGGGCCGCAATCAGCCCTGTAAATCCAATACACTCAGTTAGGGGAGTCACAGATCGTCAGTTAGTGATTTGTACAGAGAGCATTCAGGGTCTTGTCAGTGATCAATCGGGACTGTCCATCCAAGTTGACAAGCATGTTGAACCACGGTCAGTCCTGGGGGATATCAGTTA